GCTCAACCTGCTTGAAAAATGCTTGGGGGTATTGAAGACAGTCTGCAATACTGAGCCTGCCGAAGATCCCGAATGTGGGAGGGCAGCACCAACGCCTTTTGCGCCAGCACCTACCACATCCAACGGCTTGGATGCGCAGGACGAACATGAACAACAGCGGTTGTCTGTCATCAAGACAGAGAATGTTGGCCCCATGCATGTGCCTTCAGTGGGCTGTTCTAATGCTGGTGAAGCTGATGGCGCCAATACCTATGTTGACAGCAACTCGAGCCGTGCCCAGCAGTTGATAACTGAATTGGTCAGAATTGTCAACTGTGCCCTGGAACTGAGGCCTGACTCCATCTTTGCCGATGAGGGCGGCGTCCCTTGCAGCCCGCAGCCAGACATGGCTTGCCTTGTTAAAGAGCACTTTGGAGCAGTGTGCAGATACCTGATGATTCTGGAATGGTTGGCAGCAGCGATGCCCATCGACAGGTTGAAACCTCCTGAAAGGGAGGAAGAGGAAGAAGGGGCAAAGAAGTACATTCCACAAATAGCAGAAGTGGAGGAGGTCGTGGCGCCTGAGCCTGGGAGTGAGAGACTTGGGGCAGAGATTCTGTTGGATTGCTGCATGTATGGGACAGACTCCAGGTTGGCAGTGCCATGGACATCCGATGAGGTGGGCATCTGTGCCAACAGAGTTGTGCAGACGATGGGATGCAGGCTGGAGGGGTGCTACGATGGGGCCCAGTGCCTGGCTGGTTGCACACAGGCAGTTGCCAACTTGGTCGAAGGGGCTAGACACGACGGCCACACTCCACACACGCACATGGCAGATGAGTCCAATGACTGCAGCTCACCGTGCTGCACAGGGGATGGCAATGGCGCCAGACAGCAGCTCTTGGAAATGTTCTTGCCAGAAGTTAGGGACAGACTGAGGCAGGTAATTGCCAAACGTCGGCTCAAGGAGTTGCATGAGCGCATGGACTACTCACCCATGCCCAGTGCATTTGAGGGTGTGGTGGCGGCCAGGAGATTCACTTGGCTGGTTTGCCAGCTGCGTCCCAGTGGTATTGCAAAGAACATCAACATGATCATCCCAACTGTCTGCTCCATTGTGGATGACTCGTCGCCCGCAGTGGAAGAACTTGGAGTGGCGTGTTTGCAGCATGTGGCCACGTCAAGGCCCAGGGATCTTTTGTTGCCGTGGCGAGAAGTTTTGCTCAAGGTGCTCGAAGACGCCATTCCTGCAGCACAAGTTGACCTTTGGCCGACTTTGCTGCCGCTTGCAGTGACTCTCACCATCAAGCTTGAGGGACGTGACCCACGACAACCTGGGTACGATATCATCATGAAGGCCCTACTGAAAATTGCTGAGTGGGGCAGCAACGAGAGGCAGAAGCGATTGGCGTTCATGGGTGCGATCGGGCCCTTGGTCACTGCCATGGGTCTTGTCCTTGTGAAGTATTTTGCGAGGCTGATGCCCCTGTTGCTTGAATGGGTATGTGCGCACGATGCAGCGTCCAGACTCACAGCCATTCGGACTCTCCACGCCGTGGTCAAGCACACCTGGCCAAGGATGCCGGCACACGCTGTCCTGATATGGGACGTTCTTCAGCGCGTTTATGATCAGGAGAAGGGACACGAGGAACGGTGCGCAGAGTCGGGCCTGGAGCCAAGTGTGGATTCCAAAAGGGAAGTCGAGCTGTTGTGCATTTCGCTGGTGCAATGTGGGGGCGAGAAATTGATAAAACACCTTAAAGAGGCCAAGAGAGGGGCGTCCATTCATGGTTTGCATCTCATACAGGTTGCAACCCACGCCCATGAATCTGGTGTCTCCGACATGGGGTTTAGTTAGCTGTGGAAAGAGCGTGGACGTATGTACGTGACTTTGAGAAAATAGTGTGGATGTATGTACTTTCCTTTTTGAGAGAAAACTTGGCAGTTGAGTTCACGTGATATGGCTTTGGGCTCCCGATTCTGTGCCATGAGTGCATCCCATGCATAATGGTGCACATGATTAACAACACATCACCGTGGAGGCTCTGCTGCCCGTCCACAAGGCACAGAGTCACCGAATCACAGTCGTCCAACGCGCCAGATCTGTGGGGGCACAACAACGGCCCATTTCTGGCATCCGCCTGGGCGTCAGGTGCCAAAAGGAAAGCTGCAGGAAGGCACTTTCGATTGCAGGCACTGCCGCGGCTGCCAGCCAACCACTACACAACAACAAGGGTGCAGAAAGGATGACAAAGTGCTACCCCCCAACCGACCCTCCCAATCCCACCCACCCGTCCGCTGCGCTCACATGGGGTCCTGGTGAGGAGTCCACCATGTGAACTACCTGAGCATTGACATGCCACAGCACACGCCACTGACCCAACCCCCAACAGCAAACAATGCCCCATAACCAGGGTAATTACATCACGCCCAGCTCGACAATCCAAGTCACAATCGTGTCACCATCCGCACAGGTAGTCTAAGTTACATTACATGGCAGCTTGAGCAAACAGAGATAAAACGAAATAGGATACAACCCTCTCAAGGGGGAAGGCATCCAGCTGGACTTCTGCCTCGTTCTGCCTACAGGAGGCCACGGTGGTGGTTCTTCTTTGAGGAACACTTGCTCCACGTCGGTCCGCAGACGAAGGCAGTTATCAGCATGACGATGACAAAGATGATCAGCGCAATGATGAGGGCCAGCTTTATGTTCTGTGCAGCAGACGCCATGTGTCAGGATTTCGTGAGAATGTATCAGGCAAATGAAGGCATTGTCACCCACAGCCATGAGGAGCACATTATGCCGTCAACCAGAAAGCTGTCCATTCGTGTGTAACCGTTCTTTTTGTTCACAATGCACAGCATTCTCTGCTTCACCTGCTGACTTGTGCACCATCCTCACACGATAGAGAGTCCAAGCTCTCTTGCTCAAGTTGAGCAAAGGCACAATCCACGACAATCCACGCTTATGACTGCAACAATTCTCGAGGTGACATGTCCACTGGCATATTCTCTTTGTGTGCAGCCTAAATGGGCTGCTCAGTTTGTGCACGGTGCATTCAGGAGGGTTGCAAGGGGACAGACAACAATAATTGGACGGATTGAGAATGGATACAGTTTATGCTGCACAGCACAGTGGCATGCCAAAGGACACAATCCTGTGCTCTCACGAGTTCGTCGAGTAGATTGTGTAAAGCCACAAACCCCAAGGCTGGCAATCCAAAGCTCCATTCACCAAGGAGACAGTCCAACACTGTCTCAAGCACCACCAGGCTCTCACCTTCCACCTCATCTTGTTCCTCAGCTTCCTGGCCTCCTTGCGGAACATGAATGCCTCGCTGCTGAGGTGATCGGTCTTGTCCACCAGCAGCTCGATGCGCTCACCCCTCTCCAGCACCTTTTCGATGTTCTCGATCATAACATTCTTGACCTCCGCAATGCCGCCCCTTGCACGTGTGATGGCGTCCGCATTGGGGTCGTTGGAGAAGTAGTCCATCTGCTGTTCCAGGACGCGAGAGAAGTCTGTGCTGTACTCGTACGCGACAGCCTGCCACACAAGATTGGGGCTTTCAGTCTGTCTGCACAGCACAGAGCCTGTGGCATGCTAGACAGGACAGGTAGCCTGAACAACTGCACCAGGGACAAGGCCTACTGTGTGCCTGCAGGTATCATGCCATACACCCAGTCTACACAGCACACTGTCAAAGGCAGGAACTGACCACGGCACACAAGGTATGCGAGGCATAACCAGAGTTTGTGCATGTGCCACTTGAAACCTGTCTGGACTAATTTGCGAACATGCCACAGCACATGGGCATTTCTGCAGAGACATGAACATCATAATTCCTTTGCAGGACTATCTATGATTGAGGCTTGTGACATAAAGCGCCCACTGGAAATGAGAAGTGACCATTGGATGGGGAGGACCTCTTGATCCCAGCAGTCCACATTGGATTCCACAAGAAGACAGAATTCACACATCTGAATCCTTTGCAGCCGAGGCCCCTCAGTAACTGTCCAGCAGATGGGAATAGCAACATGGTCTGCTGACATTATGCACCCCATAGTAGTGCCCCCAGCCTTACATTCATGGCCGCCGATCCATAGGTGGTCACAAATTTGTTTTTCACATCCTCCAAGAAGGCGTATGGGATTCTGCGGCCAAAGCCCTGAGCACAGCCCACATTCACTCAGTTGTCAGATGTGCAGACAAAAACAGTGGTGAAAAAGGCAAGAAGCAACCTCCTTCTCATACCCACTCATCAACCCAGGCATGTACAACTGGCCAAAACTGTCTGGACCAAAAGGCGGACAACTATACTTTCCTTCGTCACAGCAACGCACATGGATAATATTATCATGCAATACATTGGAATTCAAACAAAACAATGGATGGTGCAGAAGAACTGGACTATTTGCACCCCAACAGGGCCACATTGAACACATAGCAGGTGCCAAGCTTTGGAAGGCAATAGCATCAATACAGCCACAATCCTACTTTCAGGGTCCCATTGACTTGGTAACAATTGATTTTCGACGTGAGTCTCTGGAGCAGAATGAAGCCTTCACCCACCGAGTCCACCAGTGAAACCAAAAGGCATGTTCTGAGCAAGGAATTAAACCTGAAGCCCATACGCACCTCCTCGGACATGCACAAGTATGTTATGCCGTCAACGATGAGGACATGGTACATATGCCTCTCTTGCGTGTACGAAACTCGCCTGTAGACAACAGCAGCAGGAACCCATGGCTCAGCACGCCACGGCTACTCCCAAGTCCCCTTCCCAACGAAACAGAGCTGGACTGCAGATTCATAGTTCTGGAGGCACGCTTGCTTGCAATACAGCGGAACCCACCCCACAACTCCCCCTCATGTAGCCATCCAAATTCAAGCCCTGCTGCTGCAGTGAGCCCTCTGGACAACAGGCACATACAACCCTGCCTGGCCTGCGTTGGGACCACACAAGTCGCCCTGAAGCTGTCGGACACCGGCCAACTCCCCACGCGGCGCACACGTGCCAGCCGGCCACCAGAACATAGCGCAACGCAGACTATCCACTGCCAAAATCCATCCACCCGCCAACAGGGCCCCTTGGCAGGAAGCCGTCGGCGAAACACCGCCCTCCTCAGCTTGCAGCCACCCCATATGTTGGCCCCACCCCCTCTCCACAGCCGATGCCATTCAATGTGCTCCGCATCCGCCCCATCTCCCTTCCCCCCCAGCCGGGTCCCATCACCGGGCGCATCGGCAACCCCACCCCAAGATGGCCGACCGTCCCCGGGAGGCACTCACGTGTCGGTCGTCGGCATCTTCTCCAGGATCCTGTGCGCGATCTGGATCGCATTGCCGGACACGGTGCTGCGGGGCAACGCCACAGAATTCAAAGTCAGCCGAGCGGCGCCCGGAGCAAAGCGACACGCGGAAAGATGAGTCAGGATGTCGTGACCCGGCCGCGACGCACCTGCATTCTGCGAGCACGACTGGCCCGCGGGCCACAAGCGAGAAGAGTATCTGCGAAGGCATGCTGCCGGACGCCCGCTAGGAGGGACTCGGAACGCGGAGGGCGGCCGGCGGCCTTGGAGAGGCTGTTTTCGGCGGTGGGGCGCCTGGGGCGCAGCGGTGGCAAGTGGGGCGCCTTTGAGGGCAGGCAGCGCCAGCACGCACCCAGCGTCCAATGTACTGTCCCAACTTCTCCATTTTTTGCACCCTTTTTTTGAATTTGAGGAAGGCAGCGCCCGCAGGAACTGAGCGTCCAATGTACTGGCCCAAATCTTCCATCGTTGCATGTTTTTGCACCGTTTTTCGACTTCTGTCTGCAAATTAATGGAGGATGGCGGGGCGAGAATGGCCAGACTGGTGCTGGTCCTTGGGAGCACGCACAGCGAGCGGAGTCGGCTCTGCCCTTGTACAACGGGCGCCCACAAAGGGCCCCGCATGCAAGCAAGGCCTCAACACAGGTGAATGAATGAATGTATCCTTGCAGATTAACCAATGTCAAAATTTGCATCAGTGTCCCTGCACAGCGCTTCCACACATCGGTGAGGTCACACCTCGCTTTGTAATGTCCAATAATCTTTCACATTCACTCATGCCATCCCTATAAAGGCCTGAACACAGCCCGGGATCATGCGTTTGCTCGTAGTGTGTTCCCTCACAAACCCCCCTGCCGGCATGCTAAAGCGCAGAGTGCCAGCTGGATAGTTTGTGATGGAACAAACTGCGAACATTCTAGTATGGGATTAGCCTCCAGAGTCTAGAGGCAAGCCCCTGTCGAAGGCAAAGACGCTTGGCAGGGTCCATGCCGCATTCCAGGTAGTGGGCAAGCAGGAGACGGTGATGTGGGAAGATCACGTTCTTGAGTGGGGCGAGAATGATGAGCCTTTTGGTGGCACTGCCGCAGCTGTAGAAGCGGTGGATGAGGGAACCAAAGATTGGACGGACACAAACACGGGATGATTCAATGTTCATGATTGTAAGGCTACATGTGGTGAAAGTTTTGCTTATGTTGACGTATTTTCTGGCCCACAGATGCGCAAAACTATGCGCATATTTGGAGTATAAGTTTTGGCCAATTCCGCACTTAAATAGAGTGGATGGGTTATGTGATGTGTTCCAGTTGAAGCATGGCCCAAAGCCTGCGTATGTGCACAATCAAGCTTATTAAGCCATTTCGAAAGCGGTGATATGCAGTCCACACATGTACTGGTCAGTTCTCAAGTCACTTAAGGTCATTAGTTCAGATTATGAACAAGGGGCTGACTGTGTAATTGGCATAACAGCAATGCAGAAAGGCAATTAGTGATTCAGTATATATCCATTTGATCGCGTTCTTGAGCGATATCCCTGCGTTCATCTGCACATGCAGATTCTTTGCTTCCGCTGCTGTGTGAAAACGGTCGGTTGCAATGCGATGGAGAAAATTCCGATTTATACTGTTGAGCACATGTGTCTGAAGGATGCCATATGGCTTGAAAGCGAATTCGAAAATAGTAACCAGTTTTCATTATATTTGTTTACATTCTACCTAAAATATGTCTTGAATTCAATACATTCGCTTGGGCGTTGCTATGCATCTTTGGGGCGTTGGCCGGGTGCCTTCCTTTGTGGGGACACCTCAGCAGGCCGCAGGTGAGATCATATCATGCAGGTGATACAAAACAATGGGCAGTCCGTGCGATCGATGTCATGGATTGGATGATGCCCTCGTCGGCAATGGCACAGCGCATGCGCCAGATACGTAGCGTACCACTGAATCAGTGCCACAATATATTTATTTATCAAAAGTAGCTGCTACTTTTACGGCAGTTTTTGCGTTTTTGCGGCTCGTTGGGACAGCCAGGTTACATGATGAAAGTTGCATACAGTGATGACTCTTCCGTCATCTCCAGCACCGGCAACACAGTCCCACCTCGCCTCGGCAAAGGCAACGACGGCATGAAACAAAATTCCGTTTTATACCCATTCCAGCGCGACTGACTGCCACCCCCAGGACTCTCCAAATCTCTGTGTACTGTCCTTATGTACAAGGGGCTGTATTTGCGTTGTATTTACGTATTTTTACGCGTTTTTACGCGTAAAACCGTAAATACGTTCAGTTTTAACGGCGTAAAAACCAAGACTGGTGACAACAAGCTTGTTGTCATACCCTTAAGGGTCTTCACAAGAAAGTTGGCAGGGACAAAAGCAAAGGTAATTTGTCATTTCTGTGGCCAAAAGCCTTTGAGCGGCTTCGCCATTTAGCGTCGAAGGTGCGGCAATGAAAGAGAAGCTTATCTCATCTTCAGTGCCAGGCTGACAAAGTGGACACAAACGGGTACAGAGCTCTGAAATTGATTTACGTAACTGATGGTGATGCTGCTCAGCCCCAGAAAGCGAGCCCTCCCCCCTGCCCGATAATCTCAGGAGCAAGGTCCTCAAAGAGATTGATTGTGATGAAGCCAGGAATCAGTCACATCGGGCAAGATGTCCTGCCAGCCAAGTTTCTGATATGAATGCACATCAAACCTTCGGCGATGACGAAGCTGCGTGCATTATTGCATGTTAGTGTAGGGTCCAGCGAGAGTAACGCCGCTGCATCTTCAAAGGTAACTTACTAGTTGACTCTAAATTGCTGTACATTCAAATACACGATTAGTAATTCCCGCATTGGAGCGCCATCGACCCACACTATGGCAATGAAAATTATCTGGAGACGGGTGCAGGTCGATTCTGCATCAGGATATCTCACGATATCTCTTGCAGCGCTGATGGGGGAGCCATGTTTTTTGCCCGATGCCGCTCTGCAGCAGACGCAGTTGACACATCGCATCTCCTGAATAGAGAAAGGTACCATCAGGAGCGAACAGGACTGCAAATCCAATTATATCAATGAAATATGCTAAGAATGCCCCTGATTGGGTGAGGAACACCCCAGCTACCTTGTCACGTAAAATTTCATGATGACGGTGACGACGCTCGAGCGGAGGCCAGAGACGCTTAGATTGGCCGCTTTCAGCAAGCGGCGTGGCAACACCCCTTGACCGCCAAAAGGACGTGTGCCGCGCACACGGCCCTCTGCGTACTTTTGACCATTGCAAAAACTTTACGTCACACCAAATTGTTCGCAAAGCTGACCCGGACGGCCACGTCCTCCTCGTCGGGCCGTCCAGCCTCGTCTTGATCCGGCGTCATGGGGTACAAATATCCCTCTCGCTTGCGCCTTGACCATTGTGGTCTTGACGGCGCCTCCAGGCAACAGGCCGCGTCGAAGCTAGTATGGCTTCCAGGCCGCTGTTGGACATCAAAGATGGCAAGCGAGATCGACATGGGGTGTGTGCAGGCAGCCGAGGGCGGTGGAGCTGCCATCTGGGGGTGAGCTGTGGAATGCTGCTCGTGGGGCTGTCCTGCACTGGGCGGAGGCATTCGACTGCGCATGAGACTGCTCCGCCGTCCTCGGGGCCAGGCGTCGGTGTTGTGCTAGCTCACATTGCCCAGTCTCTGCCCATGGGGAGATGCGTTTCTCAAACCAGTATTCTCAAATGAACAAGTGAATTTCGCTGCCCACAGGACACCCTTGAGGGACGCTTAGCTTACATCAAGTTTGTGTGAGCGCCCGACTCGCCGGGAGAGCTCCAGCCGGTCTGCCAAGTCGCGTCTTGGCAAGCGCGCATCGTGTGACTAGCTGCAATGATACGGACAAAAGTTCCGCCCCCCTGTTTGACTGGGCGGATGAAGGCTTCGAGTCAACGGCACGTGGGACAGCGGCCATTCTCCGCAGCTCCTTTGATGCAGGTCTTGTTGGGGAAGCGTGGGCACGACTGCCGCCATGGCATGCGATCCAACGCCTACACAGATCTCATCAGAAAGGGGCCGGCCATCGTTGCCTTGTGGCCAATCACAATATTGTGACTCACCATTAGCGGTAAGAGTCTAGCTTTTTCCACGTCTTGCAAAAATTCTGTAGCATCGCTTGATTCGTCAAAACTAAAAAACAACAATTCTTACGAACATAGTGACATTTACTTATATCGTTGTGAGCTAAAATCACGTAATTCTGTTAAAGAATGCCGATGGGAATATGATATATGTACATAATCTTCAAAGGCAGTTGTCGCCTGCAATCCACATTTATTTGATGAAGTTATTCATCTAATGCTCCCACCCAAATGACACTCGCTCACTGCTCCCCCAGGCTGGAGAAAAGTTGATGCAGCCCAGGGAAACGCCGACATCCTAAATTCTATGCGCTCAGGATTTTTCGGACTACCAATCCTACACTACAGACAACAACAAAACCAGTGGCCACCTGCAGTTTGGATCGTCCTTACAACAGGGATATCCACTATATGCATGACCCTCGCGTAAAGCCACAAGTAAACCCATTCTAGAGGCCGCAATCTGCGGGGGACAGTACACAGGACAGGTAAGTAAGGTGGCCACGCCGGCGGCAGGGTAGGCAAACCCACCAAGTCTGACTACGGTAACCAGTACATATGACATCCTCACAAGCCCCGCACAGCAGACAAGGCCGCGGCAGCAGCTACCCAGTCCCAGCAGGAAGCAGCCTGAGGATGCCCACGAACTAAGCTCCTCAAAGATATCACGCTGCAAAAGGAGAAAATGTTGCGGCGCGCATTGCAGGTGGGCGTGGCGCTTGAAACCGCAAGTGTTGGCCAAAACGTAATTGCCTTCATAAGTTCAGCAGCTCAGGCACTCCGCTGACAGCGTGCCGCACTACATGCACCACACACTGTGAAATGCACTGAAGCGACCGTCAAGTGCATGACGTCTACACACAGAATTGTCTTTTAGTAACCTAACATCATGTGCCACAACAAAAATGCTGACCTCTTTCCAATTCTGCCATCTCTCTACACGTTGTTGTTCGCTTTTCAGGGGCGTTGCAATTCACCCTTAATTCAAGCTATCGCATTTTAATTTCGCTCTGTAGCTTTTGAGTACAAGGCAACCGCCCTGAATGGAAATGTGGCCCGTTGTCTGCAGGCTACCGATTCTTCAACGTCGAAGTTGAAGGAGCAGATGAAAGCAGAAGATGCTAATCGCGGTCTGCAGCATGCGCACCTTTGAGTCAAGTGCCATGCCGGACTGGGTGCGAGAAGTGACGCCAGAGTCGGCTGCGCTTTACAGATCTATTTGGGAATATTCTCTGTCCGTATTGCCGCTGGAATTGTTGTGGTATTGGAGATCTACATTGAAATTGAGCACACAGAACGGGCTATTGGGTGTTCTGTGGCATCCGTGGCATTTTTTATTGGGTGTTTGGATCCAGTTTCGGCGGGAATTTTATGAATTGAGTAAGAGAAATTCCCAATCTTCGTTTCTGAGCTTTGAGTTGAATCAAGCAGGTGGCGCTGTACCAACAAACAGCGATACTTCAGTGACACTTTTTCCACATGGATGGCGCATCGCAACGACGATGAGTGAATAAGGGTGGACATCAGCGAACGACCAAAGTTGCCGTGTACCCTACAAGCTCCCCAGGCAATATCACGCCGTACTTGGTTGCAACCCATCCAAGGAATTCCACAGCGACCAGTGCATCACCCAACTAAGTCCACAGACCTTGGCACACCAGCGCTCAATCCCATGAATCCCAGCAATTTAAACCAGGAATCGATTAGCGCAGTCAAAGCCTTTTTCGCTAAGAGAAAGGAATGCCCTAAAACTACCTAATAACATGCAGGCCTTGGGCCCACAAGGATGGGTGAGCACTGTTGCAGTCTCGCCACTTGACTATACTACGACGTGGTGACCACGCAGCTGTAGCATTTTGCCGTACATAATCACCGTTTCCTCACACAAATGATTGCAGCAATAAAAGAATGAGGTGGAGAGACGGGGCACGCCTTTCTGCAATGCTCCGTTTTTGCGCTGTGCTTACACTGCCCGACATTGAAGGGTTGCTGTCAATGAGCGCAACTGCTCGGGAAAGGGGGGCAGGGTGCAAGCAGGGCGCATAGCCCATTGTTGATGCGGAGGGCACAGATTTTGTCGATCGGTGGCAGGTGCTTGATGGTGATCAGCAGCGGCCTTTGGCGATGGGCGCGTTGCAATTGCCGGCCCGGCGTGTCATGAACTGACAACTGGCAGATGAAATAATCGGAAGCGTGCACTGTGGAGAAACGACGGTGGGTAGGACGCGAGCTGACATGGACTGCTGTGGGGGCATTCTGCATGCGTGACAATCATGCACGGCAGGCTCCGGCAGTGGCTGGCGCTCTTTTGTCGCTGCGGTCCAGGCCCACAGCGGCAATTCTTGAGTGGGCACATAATGGGGCATTGCAGAGCGGGCAAGCACAATGGGGGCAGGGAAACTTGCAACGTTTGGTGGCCAAGGACGCCGTTTGGAGGTACTGCACTGCGGTGAACAGCGCAACGCGCGGGCTAACTTCCAAGTCGGATACGTTGTGTGGGTATGCACTGCGACAGGCCAGCAACCGACGCCAACAATCATAGTGCTGTGTACTGACCACAAGTACAGCAACCGCATCAAACAAAGTTGATGTTAGGATTGAAAGGGGAAGGGCCGGGGAGCTGAGCGTAGCGTCTGCTGAGCACCATACTAAAACCACAACAGTCTCTTTCTTTTCTCAACGAGAAGCTCCAGCCATCCTGATGCTGTGCAATCAGCAGATTTCGACACTGAATAAAACGCTGTCTCACGAGTGTCAGCAATAAGCTTGCACCACCTCGCACGCAATGCTCATTGGGCATACAATATTGCCACGTTTGAGATGAACTACGAAATCTCAGGGCGTGTGCGGCCAGCCAATGATTCAGGCGCAGAAGAAAAGCACAACGTCCAGCTGCTTTTGCTACTGCCAGGGTCCTTGTGCGGCGTTACCAGCATTCCTGCTGCAAGAAACATCCAAGGATCTGCCATGGTGAAGTCAGCGTTGCAGCGCCTATGCACTGCTGGCGGACAGCAGATCCGAACAAATGTGGTGGATGACAAAGGAACCCCACACACCACTCCCTTCTAATAGATCAAGCAGTGCTTGGGCTATTGGAACGAATGTGCATGGCAAGCCCAAGGTACATGGCACTGTTCCAAGAAACTTTGAGGACAGGCGACTTCATGGTCATCCCAAAGGCGCTGCCATTGGGAGAGGCAAACCATCAGGAACCGCGCACAGGGGACAAAATCGAGAAAAGCAGACTGGGCACGAAGAACGGCCTACGATGAATTACATTATCCTCCTGTGCAACGAAACGCTACTACCTGTTGACAGATTGGGTGCAGAGATTATGTTCAATATCAAGAAGCCCTTAGCAATAAGCATTAGAGAAACCCTCAACACTAGTATAAAGCCCCCCAAGTTGCGTGGTGCAACTTGCGAATACAGTAAGTTCATGAAACCCTGTGCAGCCTGCAACTGGCCAGCCACACCACCTGCAAATTTTCTTACGGTTTGGACATATCAGCTGCTTTGCTGCGCATCAGCTGACAGTAGGCGGAATGGGCATCGCCAATGCCCCCACAGCGCAAACTGCCAGTGCAGCCCCAACTCAATTCTGCTGCCTATGTGCATGCAGAAACCTCTGCACCCAGACCATGGCATCCTTGTACCCGTCACTCATAAGGTCGTCAATGATGTCCAGATTGAAAGGGTTCATGGCTAAATAGTAGTATTTCTTCTTTGGGTACCTGTGCTCACGAGACCGCAGGTCTGGGCTTATGTCTGCCTTCCCAGTGAACCATGGGCGCGCTTCCTTTGGCGCAGCGGAAACCTGTGCACAACAGAAGCCTGATTCAGATAAGTAAACACAATCTCAAGTGCAGCACGAATCTTGAGTCATTTCATCGTAGAAAAACAAGTCCAAGCGCAGTTCTTCCTCGTGCAGGGGGATGTAGGTAATGAACTGAAGCTTGCATGTCCAAATGCCGCATAAAATGAAGCACACAGCACTTTTTGGAGATGATATTAATGGCCAGCACTGAAGCCCTATGGTGTCGATGCCATGCAGTGCCAATATGCTTGATTTACGTTGAAATATGGCAGCACTCTGACCAGGGCCTCTGAAGGCCATGATGGACACAGTCCCATCCACACTGTTCAGTGCAGTCAGAAGATGTTGTGTGACGAAATGCAGGACTTCAGAAACTGCAAATTCGCACACACCTCAAAATGACCTGAAGCTGCTGATCGCAAGACAATCAAGTGGGAAATAGGCCACCAAGCAAACATTGCGCCCAAACTGCCTAGATTACCTGTGACCACGATTTAATGCCATTTGTGCACATTTCCTCACAGCAAACACCATATATTTCACATGTTCCAGAGGGTGGGAATGCTTCATCTGGACGAAACAACCCCATAAGCCTTGACAGGGTGTGGGACATGCGCCTGAAGTTGAGCAATGCGAACCTCAAAACTGTGCAACAACAAGCCTTGGAGACTGACAACGGCAATTTTGTGATTTTCAATAGAAATCAAATGCAGCACATGGAACAAGGCGCATGTGCATGGAAGCAAACTCCAGATTAGGTAGGCACTTCATGACCATGACCAACATTTCCACCAGAATTACATCCCATGACAGCAGACCTCCTTTCCATTCATGCTTTCAAAACTGCATGGGGTGCATCTTTGTGCCAGAATGGATTGCAACATGATACTGCAATTCATCAACCAGCCCAGCAAGTAGCAATTTGGTGGGTGTGGAGCACCAATTTCGCCAACAAAGAGTGAGCAGTCATGAGCACCAGTGCTGGAATTGCCACCTAAATTATCTGAAATGCTATATCTTTTCAACGCACTCGGGACAGTATCGCATGCTTGGCTCCTCGACATGAAACACAACCCAGTATTGCGCAATGTGGAGTGTTTCCATAAACCCGCTGCTCAAAGTCCATGGAACTATTTTCTTGCCTTTATTGTGATCTTCACATGGCTTCTGCATGCCTTGGGCACTGATGGAAAGAATTTAGAGAGCAGGCCGTCTGCAGCAAGGCCATGTCTCGTGCGGCAGCCCCAATTGGGACCAGACATTGCTGGCATGTATGTGCTGGCGACCATTACGTCCACAACGTCCTCCTTGGAAACAAAATCCTCCACAAGGATGCCCCAGGGGATGGGCCACAGCCTGGTGATCGCGATCCCAACGCGCTTGGACACAGTGGTGTGTACATTATCCGGCAGGAGCCCCTGCAGTTACCACAGATTGGAGCTGGTTGGTTGCGCAGACAGCACGTCCATCATCGAAAATAATGCAAGATGGCAATCAAAAGAGTTGAGCAGGTGCAAACTAGGGACCCTCTTCTCGGCTCTGGCATTCGTGGCTGCGGGCCATCACCGTGCAAACCGATTGTCCGCCTTGATTTGAGCAGAATTTGCGGTGTCCTTCCATGGTGGTTCTGGAGTGTGCGCTGGAGCGCGTGACAGCGAGCAAGTCAAACGCGACGCCACAATGTGGCGCTCCCCCATGCGGGCGGAAGTTCGAAAGCAGGCGGACGGCGGTCGTGGGCGGCGATGCCCCGCCCACCTGCATCGCCCCCTTCACCACCTCGCCGAGGATCTTGTCCTGGGGCTTCGCCAGCAGCCTCTCCTGAATCTCTCGGTTCACCCGCATGACGTCATCAGGGTCGATCTCGCAGGCATTGAAGACGGCCAGCAGGCATCCGCCGGAGGAGCCGGACACGGGCGTGTCCGGGGCGATCAGGCCAGTCTCGCACAGCGCCTTCCACACGCCTGCGCAACCCAACCGCCAAATCAACCCCCAACCCCACGCACAGCGCAGCATCTCCCAAGACAAGGAACAAGGCATCAATCAATCGGCTGGGGCCCCAAGAGACAGGGCACTTTCCCCCGGAACTGGCTGCCCAGGGCAGCGCCCACGCGCGGCAAACAACCCTAGGAATCGAAGCACAGGCAGCCCCTCCCCTTCTGCGGCGCTGGGCCCACCTATATAATACGGGAAGAGCAGGCCGCATGGCGAGAAGGAGAAGCCCAGGGCGTCGGCCAGCCGCTTGGGCGCCTCCTTCACTGTGGCCGCCGCCTCCGGGGCCTCGTCGCCGTCCATGTCCTAATCCTTTCCGTACGCGGGACCTTCCCGCCACCACCGGTTGGGGGAAACAAGCCCCGGCGCTTTCCGCGGGGCCGTGCGGTCACCGGCGCCGGCCGGTGCGTTGCCCGGCTGGTGATGGGCAACTCACCAGCGCGCCATGGCGCCCGGCTGGGCGCAATGTGACACTCTGAGCCCGGGCTGCCTGGCCCAAGGGCCGCTTGGCGCAGGCCAGTGGTGGAGCACCACATTTTTGGGCATGGGAAGGCGCTGATCGCCGGGTGTCGCCTTTTGACAGCCACAACGGAACATCCGCCTATTGGGCTTGGCGACGGGTCGGACATGGGCGGGCCTGACGTTATGCATGTGGGCAGCTCGAGCCTTTTCGCTGCATTCCTGGGCCGCTCGTTGGCTCTCACGTCGTCAGTGGTCGCTTGGTTGAATCCCAATCCCCTGTTATCTTCACTTGATCTTCACGTTGGCATGGCGGACTTTGCAGTGTCGCCTCACCCTGTTTTGGCTATTCTGGCTATCCCTGGCTGTCCCATTTTCACCTATACTCAAGAAAAAAAAGGTAGCAGAGAGATTTCTTCACTTCTGCACCAGTGACAATCCTGCGCTCGATGCTTCTCGCTGCAGGTCGCGGCTCGTCCGGCCTTTCGACCTCTGGGCGTAGTTCGATCGATCACTGAATGTGCGGCAAAACCTTGGATTACAGATAGTACGAGAATGCCTGTACATGCGCTATGCCTATTGTATAGTAGGGGTCCTGTTCGTGACGCCACATAATGACCACCGTTTTCACTGGGTGGATCACTTATGTAACTGGCGTACGAGGGGTATCTGCCGTATGCGCTGTATGCACTGCATGGGATGGCCCGAGTATGCCACCATTGCTGAATTAAAAAGAAAAAGAAAACAAAGAGGAAACACTCCGAAAATGGGTTATGAGCGGACAACTGCAAACCTTAGGAGTGAGAACGAGGGCGGTGCAAGGTTAGGGAGACAAGGGCTGGATATAAGATGCCACCCTGTGTTCTCAACAGATCGGTGTCACCAGTCAGCTCCCCAGACTGACTGGGTTCAAAGACGATTCTGGGAGGTCCTGGACCTCAAGGGCCCAGGCTGAGTGGGTGAATTGGGGTGAGCCTAGCTAGCATATCCCTGGTCTGAGAAAGACCATCTGGGCTGCCTGACCTGACGAGGAAAGGCGTATAGTCCAGTAATTCACATGAAAAATGGGGTTTCATGTGATGTGTAAGGTTACGTTCAAGCGGAGGTCTTGAAATGCACTTACACACACAGGTCTGACATGGCAGGTGTGCTGGCTCTGTGGGATTTCAGAGACCGGACACGGTGTCAGTCCTTGTGCTATGCAAGGCTGTTTTTAGCTCTCACACTAAAAACCCTGCATGCACTAAAAGTCATGGGCCAGGATGGCCATGACAAGTTCAGCACACGATTAGGGTGAGGGAGTGAGAGTCAGAAGTAGGTTGACTCCCCTCACTCTGTGTGTTGAAAATACTGTTTTACACTTCCCCCATGGTTGGCTGTGCAAGCCATACTGATTTGGGGCAAAAGTGTTTAGTTATTGTGAAAAAATGGTAATCGTTTGGCCTAGTGGAGAAAAGGGAATGTGTGAGAGTTTGATGGTTGGTATTAAGAGACAAATGCACCGGATTGTGCATGGTCCTGTGAAAGGACCGACAGCCCGTCCATTGCATTCTGAATGGGGAGGGCTGACTACTTTTGTCAGACCCTTAGAAAGGGTTGTTTTGTCTTTAAAGTGGTTGTGTGAAACACCACTTTCTTTTCTACGTTTGGCGCAGCTGCCAATGTGCTGTAAAAAGCCCCCACGGATCAGGCCCGTTTCCCCTGTTGTCTGTGTGACACGGGGGTGGGCTGGCCATGCGCTGTGTGTGGGGCGCACGGGTGCAAGGGCGTTTTTTTTATGGTTTTGTGAAAGCACCTGTCACTGTTCTGATTTGGCAGCACCGCGGCTCCCAAACCCGTTGAATGTCAGGCGGTACACTTTGATTCTTGTACTACCATGTATACTTGACACCTGTGAAAGGTGGAGCGCGTTGCAAGCTTAATAAGTCTGCTGGTGCAGCCTCAGGGATCATCCCGTTTGATCCCCTTGGCACACCGTCGGGCCTGGGCGCTGGCGGGGACCTTAGTAGCCCCCTAGCGGCCCGACTCGCGGGCGCACGTTTGCTCTGACCGCGGGAGCGCTGACCGAGACCGGTGTGGGTTGCAGCATGGCGCGGAATGCCTCACGCTCTGAGCTGGCCCTCGGCACGGACTCGGACGAGTGGGGGCCGGCAGAATGGTTGGCCGTTTCGGCGGCGGTGGCAGATCCGCGCGGATGGCGGGAGGCCCACATCGTGGACCGGCGGATGGGGATGGATGGCGATTCCTACGTCGCCATCCAAGCGACGGTGTGGGTTCCCGAGGCGAAGGGCGGCCAAGCGCGCCGCAACGCCCGCCGCGCTCGTCGCGGTTCGCTTGACCAGAATCCGGGCAATGGGGTCGATGCGCCCGTGGGATTGGAGGCCACGCCCCCCGCGGAGGGGGGCGCTGGGTCGGATGGTGCGCCCCGCGGAGGGGATGCGCTGGGCTTGCGGCACGCGGGGGAAAGTCGCCGGGGGGGGAAGACCCGCGGGCGCCGTCGGCACGCCTTCCCCTCCGAGGAGGAGGAGTGGGAGGCGATGCTTTTCGGGGTGTCCGTCGAAGGGTTGGAACTGAGCACGGAGGACCACAGGGCCAAGTGCCGTCGGACCGGCGGGTGTGACTACGCTGCCGGGGAACCCGCGGGAAGCTGGTTCCCCCCCGGTTTCACGGGGCCCGTCACGCCGGAATCTGGGCCCGTAGGGCCCAGTGAGGTGACCCTGCAGGAGGCAAAAACAGGGCCAGCACCTGAGGAAGGTGCTGACCATGTGACCTCGCCAAAGGAAGCTTCTAGGCAGGGGGAAACCAAGGCAGAGGGTTTAGGAAAGTTAGGGGAAGATGTGAATTTAGTTTTACATACTAGTTTTCATGGGGACCTAGACGTTGAGTGGGAGGTGGTGCACCAAAGTAGTCACCTAGTCCATGTGACAGGTGAGGTGGCTTGGGCAACCAAGAGGCTGAGAGACATAAGGCCACTAGGGAATAATAGGTACCCCCCACAAGAGGCAAGAGAAAGTGATACAAAAAATAAGCTATGTGCACTTGTTGGGGGGTTGAAAAGGCAGCCTAGGTTGTTCTCCCTTGAGCCCCAGCACCATGGGAAGTATTTAGCTAGGTACCCAAAGAGGGTTCAGGTTCTAGCCACCTGGATTCGAAGCCACGAATTCAGCAGTGTTGCATTTTATATGCATTCACTGCTGGAAACTTTGGCGAAAGCTCAAGCATGTTCAAAGAGACACATTGCCATGGAGAAGCTGCCACAATGGTGGCTTGAATACGTCATGGAGTTTCGAGAGAAGAAGGAGCAAGTAAAGGAAGAAGAAAAAAGGGTGGCAGAGGTCCACGATAAGGTAGAGAGAATGTTGATAGAGGAAGCCTCTAAGGCACCTCTGCCAGCCCACCTTGGACTCTTTGATGAAGATGACAGAATGTGTGACTCCTGAATGAGCCTTTGGGTGGAAAAAGACATAAAAATGGTAAAAAGGAAGTGCGCTTTTTTCTAAAGTTGTGTGAACGTGAGCAGGGGGTCTTTTGGTTTGGAGTTGCAAGGCGTTGTTTATACTTGTTGAGTGTGCATGCTTGATTTCAACGGGTTTTGGTTAGTTGTGGTGTAGTTTGGGACACTTTACATTGACAAGTTTAATAGAAAACGATGTCTCAACCGCTGTGGGGACGCAGGCCGCTGACTGGACTTTACACATGCTTTATGTGTGTCTTACTATGTAATGAAGTGAGCGTTTGGCCATAGAATCTCTGGGGTGGCCGTGTGCAGCGCTGGTGATCGTTGTGCGGTGCAGCAGGGCTCACAACGTTGTGTTCTGACCGGTCAGTGGCTGTGGGTCTGTGACAGGGAATAATCTGTGATTTGATAGGTATCTTTAGATCTTGTGGGCCCCTCCCGTCCGCGTATTTGAGCTGGCGGCGGCGGGGGAGGCGTGTCCTTGCCGTTTGCTTGCGTTTGGAAGTTGGCGCTGCTGTTGTGGCTTTGGACGCTCAAGTGTAAGGCCTTTGAGCCGTGTTTGGCAAGGCTTCTCTGTCTCCAGCGGTACCCGAAGGTGTGCCCGTCGCTGAATGTGTGTCCTGCCTTCGTCGTGG